TGTATTCGTGTTGTGGCTTTTGTGGCTTTGTATTTGGGCCTCTGGGCCACCGTACTGTTGCTGCTTTGGAAAGTATCAACATTTAATATTTTAGATATAAAATTATATAAAAGAAAATGCAGTATTTCACTAACATGTTTGCTGCTTCTGGATGTCACAGTGTCCTAAAATGCCTTCTAGTGCTGAGAATAAAATACTTTTAGGTATAAAATTATTTATGTATATTTTCACTTTATTTGTCACAAGTAACCACCCTCAACAGAAACTTGTCCTACTTAACCACATTATAATGACACATGTAACACAGTAACTTATATGTAACCCATTTCCATATTCTAGGATGTGGGGAACACACAACTATTATACAATCAGCATTTCTAACATTGATGCTATGAGCTCAAACAGATAAAGACATTAAAACCTTTATCGTAGGCCTCTGAGTCATCATGCTGCCATGATACATACAGTACAACAAATTACCCACAATGCTGTTAGAGAGATTTTTTTAATCTCACAAAAGTGGCAAATGTAATATAGGTCTTACTGGCATTAAATTCTGTAAATGTGACAGTTAATTGCACCGTAGGCTCGTATTTATATATGTTTTAGTTGTTTGAGCTCCTGACTCATCAATAATGAAATATCAGTACTGAAACCTCTGCTCAAGGCCATGAGATAGGCTTATCGGGTTCTCTGCATTTTACTCACACTTGCTGTGGCTAATTTCAACTGAGTTTGTATGGTCCTATGTTCTGTGCTTGATACTTTGCTTCTTAGTTTTGGTTCTTATAGTGTTTAATGTGCTTTTCCAGATGTTCTGTGTAGCCACGATCCTGTTTCATGTACCTCAGTCTGTCCGTAGCTATTTTTGCATTTACTTTTGTTTAAAGGTTGATCCTAGCCAAAGGGAACAACAATAACAATAACAGTATTACCTTATGTTTGCACTAAAGTAAAGTGAATGTAAAAACTGTTTCTACACTGGTCAAAAAAGTCTTGTCAACCTAATTTTGCACCTCTCTAACTTGATAGAAACGTGTTGGACATAAAAACCTTTCAGGAATACTTATGGAAATAAATATTTGAGCAACTATCATCTTTTGTTCTGTCCACTCTAACCCTCTGACTTCTCCTGTGTTGTTCAAACCAGGAGAGATGCCTCTCCCAGGTTCAGATATGTGTGTTCCAGCTCTACTGGGGATGGAGTACCCTGACCCTATGGGATCTGGTCTTATGGTACCAGTACTGGGGTGTCAGACTGATATTGTCTCTGGAATTATAATACCGTTGGCAGGGACCATGGACGACCCGGACGGAAAAGGTAGTATAAAAAACATGCTACAGGTCAATGTTCAGCTGAAACAATTAATCTAGTCCACTTTTAAATTCCATCAAACAATGCAGAATAAAACAAGTTGTACTGTCCTTTGTGTCTATGCTGTTGCATTTTACAGGCTTAGTGGCCATCCGTTATGGATCTCTGACTGTTGACCCAGTGACAGGGGTTTTGGCCCCGGTGGTTGGAGCCAGGCTGGATCTATGCAGAAAAACTGTGGTACCTGTCACTGCTTCTTACTGGCTAACGGTGGCGGATCAAACTGATAGTGTGCAGGTAGGGAAGTACTTAAGAGATATTTTCCCATAAATGATAAAAACACAAGCAACCTTTAATATGACCTTGGTGAAAAAAAGTGTTTTTACAACATAATGAATTCAGCAAGAAGGAATTTTGTGAAGTTGATAAAAGTCTGTATCTGTTTAACCTCAAGCTTTTCATTTAGCAGCCCATTGAATTCGGTGACATGGAAGTTCAAGAATCTGATGGACTTCCTTTTGTTGCTGCTATTGATTGATAGGTAGAGGCGCTGCAGAGAGAGGTGTGTGTGCGAAACACTCACTGGCAGCAGCAGAGGCAGCGGGAGGAAGATATTCTCTCTGATCTGGACGCTGCTTTATTTCAGTGCCTCTTCAGAGTCACAGAAGCAAACTCTTATCAGGTCAGCCGGGGGAGATTGCTGTTTTGGTTGTAAATATCTTATATAGCTTGGACCCTGAGTATAGGGGGAGAAATTCAAAGGGGTTGAGCCTTTTGAACATGTGGAAATGAGTAAGGGGGTGTATGAATGCTGGGGCAAACAGCATTAGAAAGTAATTCTAGTGAAGCTTTTCATATCCTGGCGTGAACTCGAGTAGAAAGTTAGGCGATTAGGTTTTTCTGTGCACAACTAAGAGTTGCGAAACTGCAGAGTCCCTGTACCTCTGCGTATGAGTGCTTCTTTCTTCCTTAAATTAAGTGTGTGTGTGTAAGGATGTGTTTCTTGTGTGCCAGTATGCAAATATGTGCCTCCCCTTTTTGTGTTCCAAGTGTAAGTGTGTACTCTGCTACAGGTCCAGTGGTCAGGGAGGCAGCTGAGGGAAGCAGCCATGGAACTGCAGGATTCAGCACAGACCGAGGCCCAGAGGAGAGCAGCTCAGCGCTCTCACTTGGCTCTGATCTTGCCTCCACATGCATTACACATCCTCACACTGGGTAAATTGGCTGGCAAGCTGGCAGAATGAAGAGCATGAAGGAAATTACACTGCGGTTATTCATTTCTTTCCAAAAGAGAGATGCTTCATGCCAGTGTCTCATATCGCACCCTTCAGTTGTACAGTAATTAACATAATTTCAATGCTCAGTATTTTATTTGGGTTGGCAACATGTCTTTGTGTATCTCTGTCTGTGTGTATAGGTGACGCGGAGGAGTGGGATCAGCAGTGTGTTTGGCACTCAGAGCTTGTGTCAGGCCTTGATAAGGTGGATGTGTGTATGGAGCAGCTGCAGCAAGAACAAGAAAAATGCATAACACACGGAGGAGACTGGGCAACAGCACAGCAAGCTATGGTCAGAATAATGGCTTTATGGTCTGTTTCTTTGGCCCTGTAGCTTAATTGGTGGCTAACACAGTTAGGTCAGATGTTTACTCCCCTCTCAGGCCAGCAGTGCCAAATTTACATGACTCATGATGCTATAGGGATCTTTTGAAAGTCTAGTAATTGAACTTCAATGCCTGATTTATGTTGCAAGATGCTCTCTGTAACATTGTCACTGTATAAATGTAAATAAGACTTCCTGCCTCTTCTTGCACAAGCCTGCATGTGTTTATTCGTCCTCCAGGACAGAGAGCTGAGACAGAGAGGGCTGTGGGAGCAGTGTTGTTCCAGACAGACAGAGTTGGAGGCTGCTCTTAATGTGTTGCACTTTGTCAGACACCTTTCTCAGCTCCGCGCCGACACTGCTCAGGTCAAAACACACACAGACACACTACATAAATAACAACGTATATAAATAAACCTAATTATATGGTTCAGGGTGGGGAGGAAGTGGATGCTTCTTTGTTGTTTGTCTGATCCTTCATTAGCTCTGTAACTTTGTTTAAACCTGTGATAAACAATCAAGGCAAATGGTGCTTAATTACGTAATTATAGTTAACAAGACATTGAGGATTTTGTTTTTTATCTTTATTTCTCCCAGTGTTATTCTGAGCTTCCTCTCTCTTCTTGTTGTCTAGGCAGTACTGTGCGGAAACTTTTGGTACAAGGAATATGGTCTGGTCCAGTGCGGCGTGCATAGACCGACTGTGAAGGTCATGGGTTTGCTCCAGCAGATTGCTTTGCCTCTGCTGGAGAGACTGAACCAGCTCCTGGAAGACAAACAGCCTGCCAGCTTCTCCCCCAACACTTGCAATCATCACATTTCCGGTACTGAATCAGTATAAGATAGGGGTACTACATTTACTACATGATATGGGTGCTAATACATGCTAGGAAGCAAACATTTAGCTGTACAGTACCAAAAGCATAATTCCTCATTGAATAGCACCATTATTTGGTAGCTATACTAATTTTCTACTGCTCATTGTGTCATTGGAACTGCAGGTTTAAAGTGTTTTGATATACAATCTCTGAAATGACTGTACATTTTCCAAAAGAGACTATTTTCAGTCGTATATTAAAACTCATTTGGTGTGAATTTATGGCAGCAGGGGAGTATATTTGGGAAAAAAAAAACTGAAAAAGGACAGCACTCATGTTTATTGTGATGAAAGAACATGTCACCCAGTGAGGCTCATTCATGTGTTTTTAACAGTCTTTATAAGGGAGCTCTTTGGCATAGAATAATTAACTAAGCTAGGGTTTCTTAGTGGGATCAATTCATTGTTGTTTTTAGTCTATTTATGGGATTGCTTGACAGTAAAATACTAGAATATTACCAGGCTTATCCTTCAAATTTGACATGTTTCAGGTTTGTCAACAAAGCATGCATATGGGCTGGAGATAGGCTCCAGAGTCTGGACAACGTCTGTGCCTGTGGTGAAAGGTATGTGCTTTTCAAGCCACTCAAGCCTTGTGATAACATGTCTGTATATATGTGTGTATAAAAAGTGTGATGTGTGGTCATTGTTAAAATGCTAGAGGATAGAGCGGAGAGTAAAAAGGAGAAAAACAGCCACTGTGCTGGCGAAATTTCACCATGTCCTGGGGTAAGAAATCAATAGCGCGGGATGTTGTTCTGTTTAATGTATCTGGAGACAGTAGTAGAAGGAGATAAGAGACTAAGTGAGGCAGGTGATAATGATGATTCTACCAAGTGTTGGAAATAATGTTGTTTACACTAAGACGTAGCTAGTATATGTGCATCTTATGGTGGGTCCAGAACCACTAGAAAGAGTTTTACAGTAAGAAAATTTAAATAGTTTATGTTTCTATCAAACTACTTCTAGCAAAGTGCATTCCCTCAACATTATGTGTCTTGGGCCTGTAGAGAACTAACTTTACTAAACAAAGCAACAGCTGCTTGAGTTGACTTTTGACTTTTTTCACTTTGCAAGATCTATGGCTTTTGCAGTGTTTACAAGATCTCTGACAGTTTGTGTTTCTGAAGGAATCTCCACCCAATCTTTGACGGAGCCTATCAATTTAGCTCAATCCCAGGACACGGGTCTGCAGGCCAGCTCAACACCGACGCACAACTCACAAAGACACACCACATCCTCTGGAATCCACTCCCAGGGTGAGACGCAGCTCAAATTACCCAATAGTACTCAATGTAAGACCCCTTTCACCCCGTGTGGTCCTGTGCTGTGCTCTACGTCAGTGCTGTGTGTGAGCGAGATGCACTGTATGTACCCATTGCACATTCTCTACTAGACTCTGGTAATAGACTTATGACTAATATCCACACATCCACATGTACACATGGGAGGGAATTTAAGTGAAAATATGTAGGCAGATTTTGTTACCTTGGGAAAGGCTAGCTGTATCCCCCCCTTTTTTTTTGTCATTATGCTATGCTAAGCTTAAAACACCAATAAATATTTCCCAAAATGTCGATCTATTCCCTTAATGATAACGAGTAATTTTGTTCTTAATATCCCAACAGAGAGCCAGCAGATGAAAGAGTCTTCTCTGCCAACACATATATCTGTCCCCACAATTCCAGGTAACATCATGATGTAAAATAATATATAGTTAAAACGTGTGACATGTGCTGTGTCACATTCACTTAATCCGTCCATGTTGCTTTTATTCCCTAGAGGAGGAGTGGGGCAAGCTGCTGGAGCTCTCTCCTTTGTTCCAGCTGTTGAAAGAGGTGCAGCTACAGCTGAAGGGCTGGGCCTGTGGGGCAGGGCTTCTTAAAGGAGAGCTCGCTGGTAGGTCGGATACAGTTGGGGTTGTCTATTTTTAACTGAATAATGAGCCACCAACTGTATGCAGGAATTCACATATGTACTGCACGCACACACATATATACGACACCGCTAGACAGCATAATCATCGGGTATTCACAGATAATCAAGCATAGCACACACATCAGAGATATTTTCTCCCCAAATCAAACCTACCTGGAGAAGATTTGAATATAGGCTTGATTTCTCTGAGTATTCTTTTCATATTTATGAATAATGAATAAGGGTCTCATTATATGATGGTGAACTTTAGTGAAAAGCCTGCGTGCTTTTCAGCCTGTGTGCTTTTCAGCCTGCGTGCGTTTCAGCCACTCCTATTTTTTTGTTCTCTTGAGCCTTAATAAATCCCAGATGGTAGACTCTAAACTTCAAGTGTTTAGGCATACTATGTCAATTAGGCTTAAGGGACTTGGGTGTTTAAATAAACATCTTTCATCAGATCTGTTTTACTGAGGCTCTATGAAGAAGACCTTGGTGTAACTATCAAGAAACAGCTTCTTTTATTTGCCATGCTAGTGGTGTGACTCAAGAGATGGTAATGTCGATCTCTCAACATGTCTGTGCATGTCTGTGATTTGCCCTTTTCGTGAGGTGCAAATTGCATAAGCGCCTTATGTTTTATGAAACGATTTTATTTTGCCAGAAGGTAATAAGTATTGAACTGTAATACCGGATAACTGTTGTGTTTTGTGTTTTGTCCAGACAAAGGCAAGAGTTTTATAGATGTCCTTGATGCTCAGTGGGAATGTGAAGGAGAGCTGATCCCTTTGGACCCGTCAGTCCTAAACCCCAGGGAATTCTTGGTCTACAAGCATGGACTATTCCTTATACAAACACTGAATAATCTAAAACTGGTTGGTGCCAGAGTGTTATACTTTCAACCTTGTCACTTATTTATTCTGTAATTGTTTTAACTGTTCAATTTTAAGGCTTTGAGTGGCCTGGCCACAAGCTATCTTTTAATTTTAATCTCTTATGAGCCTCTGTGCACCCTGAAGTACTCAGGCAGGAAACCCTCTAACTATCCCTGTATCCTGGTTAAAGACCAAAAGGTGACTTGGCCTTTAGTGTGAGAGCTCTGGGGCTTTAAACTGAATTTTTTTTTTAATTAATGAATTCTTCTTTGTTATTTAAATTCCAAGACATATTAGCCTCAATGCATTATTTCTTTTGTGTGCTCCTTTGTACTGTGGGCTCTTGTTCTCTTTTCCAACAGACTCCAGAAATGTCACTTCAGATAGCAGATAGTCTCCCAAACAACAACTACTTCAACAACGCCTTCAGAAATTCCTTCTTTTATCAGGTAAACACAGAAGGGGCGTTTTATGGTTTTCAGTAACAGTGCAATATTGTTTGTTGGCATCAAAAGGATAGATATTTGTACAGTATTCATATACATTAATTGACTAATAAAGTCGCAAGTAATTCACCTAAAACAAGACCAATAAAACAGAGAATTCATATTAAGTAACACTTAAAATACATTTTAGATACTTCCAAAATCACAGAATTTTTGAAGGTGACATATTGTCTGGCGGTACTACCAACTGGTTGTGAGAAGGGTGATAATACTGTTTCTTGGGGAGCTCCTGTTTTTGTAAAAAAAAAAAACCCAAATAAAGTGGGGCTATTAGTTTCTCACTCATCCAGAATATTTGTATCATAGGCATGCTGTCTACAGATAACAGACATAGTATGTAAATAATGCTAAATGTTTTAATGAAGTTAATTAGTGATACAAAAGTGGTGAGTGGTGTATGAGTGTAAAACAAATGGAGCGAAGCTTGCAAGCTAGTTCACGCAGTCAACTCGAGCTATGTTGCTATATGCACATGACATGCCTCACGCCATAATCACCCTCTGCTCTGTCAATGCCGCTGTTGCCCTGCATCTGTATTGCTGCATGCTGCTGCTGCTGCTCTGTAAGCTATTGCTGCCTGCTGCGCTGTAAGCCCCACCACCACCCCAGCATCCACCCTGTAGGCTCCGGCTAGGGGTTTAAGGTATTGCTCATCCACTCCCAATATCTCTATATAACATATGTGCGGGGGAATGGATGAGGTAGTAGCCTAGATGCCAAAATCTAAATATGCTATACTGCTGTAATAAACATTTTAAACGTGAGTTGTCTGACTGAAATTACAATATCAGTCAGCCGGCTAGGGGAAGACAGCAAGAGGATCTTGCAGGTCAGATTTATGGCATGTTGAGCAAGCCAGATGTGTTGCAAGTTCTCAAAAGTGGAAAAATGGATATAAAGATTAATTCCCAGGAATCATCCTTACTGTGTCTGGAAGTTTTCTACTGGGTGACTGTCTTGCATGAGCAGCAGAGGGCCTATCACATACAATTTCGTTGTTTGCCTAAAAACTGTAAATCAGCGATGTATTCCTTTTTTTCCTTTGAGACACTCCACTCGCTTTCTGTGTGAAGGCATATGGACTCCTATATTGTACAATATTTATTCTTCAACCCATCAGTGTTCGTGTGTCAATTGTAGACAATTTATACAACAAATCTTCTCCTCTCCTGCCTTGGCTTCTCCAACCTCAGCAGCTTTGGCCCCTAAGAGCAATTTAAGAGTGAAGGAAACAGAGGACAGTGTAGGTGTCATGTTATTAGTTAAGCTGCAAAGTTGTAAGGCTGCAAAAGTATGTAGCCAAGGTAGAGATGGAAGTGCTGCAAAGCCAAGATTAATGCCAGCGCTTATTTTCTATGAGTAATTCCACCAGTAGGAGTTGAACTTCTTGGCAAAGAAGCTATCTGGACATATACCTTGTTTGTCAGCTTAAAGGAGTATATCTCCTGTTTAAATATGGCTTGCATCCACGGGAGGCTTGAAAGGCTGATCCAATTGGGGAGGCAGAGCTGCAGCAGAACACAACAGAGCTTTAATGCTAGCAAAAGTTTCCCTTTGCAGACCAAATTAATTTTAATTTTCCATTAAAACAGCGCTAAAACCGTTTTTCTCCAACATCAATGTTGTAATGCTCAACAAGCTCTTTTGTACAACTATTCAAAGGTTCCTCAACATTAACCATAACAGGACAGTATTGATCCCTGAGGTGCAATGCAAATTAAAGCCCTCCTACTAACTACCTACCCAGAAACATATTCATCTCAACCCTAGTCTTCATTCAGTTACTTACAGGTATTTATGCATTAAAACCACCAGAGCGAGGAAGGCATCTGCACAAGCTGCGACCCCCCTTGAGTCCAGGGTTGTGCTCTTGAGAACTCTATTCTGTTTTCACTGCAACACAACCAAGATTTACAAACAAATCCCAGAGGAGGAACATTCCCCAAGGCAGCAATCAACATGATTGGCCCTAAATCTCCAAAACTGTCCCCATCTTTACACAAGACAGCACTAAAGCTGTAACCCTAACAATCTGCACAACTGACCAAAACAAAGCAATAAACCATGAAGGAACCTCAAGCAAACTAACAAAACCTATGTATACACAGACAAACTGATCTCAGTCACAATCAACTGCTAAACCAAATTATGAAGTGTCGAACTATGACTCCTCACAGGCAGCTTTAATACCCAGACTTTCAACTCAAGTCATACATATATAAACCTAGTAAGTACCTTAAGTAAGTACTTAAGCCTAATTCACTCTGTATCCTACTCTCTGTATCCCAAACCTTTCCCCATGCAGATTAATCTAAGGTGACACAAATAGTACTAATTCCAATCTAACTGCAAAAATCCAAACAAGCTTCTAACTCAGGAAATGTACTAGACGGGCCCCTGGCTGTCACACAGTGTGGTGCTTGTTTGAAACATAACAATAGTGCTTACTTGAGTAAGTTCACTTGAAACCATCAAATCCCACAATTTACTTCATATTTGTGAGTCCCACTGAGTTACATTTGAGGACATTATGTGCTTTATCCCCTCCCCCCTTCTGTTGTAGGAACTTTTACCTCCACTATAAACATAGTTATATTCTCTTCTTCTCTGCCGAAACAGTATTGCGTACAGTGTACAGTGTGTATTATGGCCTGTTATAATTTATTCTGCTGAAACCAGTGGGTAAAAAACATATCCATGGAAGACCCAGAATACGTGTGGATGGTAAAGCTTAACTGGTTCCTTCAGCTGGTTGGACGAGGTACCATCATAGATGGAAAATATAAACATAATCTGTACTCAGCTGTTAAATTCGTGCTCTGTTTGTTAAAGTAACTAAATACATCTACTCAGGCACTGTACATTTTCAGCTATGTTTAGGCCTACTTCTACCACCACCAGTGTTGGTCAAGTTACTT